CCCGTATCATCATTGGCTACGGACCTTGTGAATGTACAATTGGATGCACAGTCAACAGCAGCGCAGCGACTGGCAGAGACTATATCTCAATCGGACCCGGCAACGGTGCCGCAATGTGGATCACCGATCCCAACGACCACGATACCCTCATGCCCGTCGGCGCTGTTGGCGAGCTGCTCGTTGAGGGCCCGATCGTCGGTCAGGGCTACCTCAATGACCCTGAGAAGACCGCCACGGTGTTCATTGAGGATCCTAAATGGCTTGTTGCGGGCCACAATGGCTACGAGGGTCGTCGCGGCCGTCTGTACAAGACGGGTGACTTGGGACGGTACGACCCGGACGGCTCGGGTGGTATTGTCTTCGTTGGACGCAAGGACACCCAGGTCAAACTGCGCGGTCAGCGTGTTGAGCTCGGGGAGATTGAGAGTCAGCTCAAGGATAGGTTGCCTTCCGATGCTAATGTGATCGCTGAGGTGGTTGTGCCGCAGGGAACCGGTGGTCAGGCTACTTTAGTTGCGTTCGTTACGTTCCAGTCCGCCAAGGCAAATGAGCAGGGCGACCTAAGCCTGGTTGAGCTATCGGATGAGCAGCAGAAGACGCTCTCCGAAGCCAATGCCGACGTAGCCAAGGTCCTGCCGCGATACATGGTCCCCACGGTCTATATCCCTGTGAACTATATCCCAGTCCTGATTTCCAGCAAGACGGATCGCAAGAGACTCCGACAATTTGCTACCACGGTTGACATTCGCCAGCTCGACCAAGGGGCTGAGACAAACGGCGCCGGTCGGGAACTGACCGACCTCGAGCAGCGTCTTCGCCAGGCTTGGAGTGTGGTGTTGAAGCAGGATGCTGAGGGCATTCGGGCCGAGGACAATTTCTTTGCTCTTGGAGGTGACTCTGTTATGGCAATGAGGCTGGTGTCGGTGTGCCGCGAGCAAGGTCTTGACCTCACCGTCGCCAACACCTTTGGTCACCCTACCCTCTCGGGAATGGCCGGTGTTGTTCAAATTTGCGCCACTGAAGCCCGCGCTGAATTGCCCCCTTTCTCGATGATATCACAAGATGTCGAAAGCGCCTGTCGCGAGGCAGCTGCCGCTTGCGGAGTCGACTCAGCGGCAGTTGAAGACATCTATCCTTGCACGCCCACGCAGGAGTCGCTCTTTACCTTCTCGCTCAAATCTGTCAAGTTGTACGTGGCACAGAGAGTTGCGCGCATTCCATCGCACATCGACCTCGATGCTTGGAAAAAAGCCTGGGAGGAAGCCGTGGCCGCCAAACCTATTCTGCGCACTCGTCTGGTGCAGCTGCAGGATCCCGGTCTCCAGCAAGTGGTGCTCAAGGAGAACATTACCTGGAAGCATGCAATCGACTTGGCGCAGTATCTGGAGAACGATCGCGAGGAAAGAATGAACTTGGGAGAGAGCCTGGCTCGCTATGCGATTGTGGATGACGCCAAGGAGGGCAAACACATGGTCTGGACAATCCACCATGTTGTGTACGACGGGTGGTCTGAGCCACTGGTGCTTAAGGATGTCAGTGACGCGCTGAGCGCTAAGCAGATCGAGCCACAGGCACAGATGCGAGACTTTGTCAAGTACGTGCACGATACGGATTCGGCCGCTATGAACGAGTTCTGGAGACGCGAACTACAGGGCGCGGTTGGTCCCCAGTTTCCCCGCCTGCCGTCCAGAGATTTTATGCCCACTCCCGACGCCTTTATCGAACATATGATTCCGCTTAAGCCCGCTGCGAAGTGGCCTTTCACCATGGCGACCCTGATTCGCGGTGCCTGGGCACTGGTGGCTTCTCAGTATTCTGGAAGTGATGACGTCGTTTTCGGTGAAACGCTCACCGGTCGTGATATTGCTTTGCCAGGCGTCGAGAGCATCATCGGCCCCTTGATTGCTACACTTCCCGTTCGCATTCATGTCAGCCGTACCAGTACGGTCGAGTCCTATCTGCAAGCTGTGCAGCAGACCATTCTGGCTCGTGTCCCTTACCAGCACATGGGCATGCAGAACATCCGCAAAGTCAGCCACGACGCCCAACACGCATGCGAGGCTGGCACCGGCTTGGTCGTCCAGCTGGAACCGGAGTACGTGGGTAGTGACCTGGGCTTTGAGACAGGTGATGTTGTTCGCGAAGCTTTGCACTTCAACCCCTATCCGCTTATGCTGGGATGTGCTGTGCGCAAGGGTGGCTTCCGGATCTGTGCTAGCTTCGACGGCAGCTTGATCGAAGTTGCACAGATGAAGCGTATGCTAGTGCAGCTGGAAGTGGCCTGCGTCGAGTTGACCAAGGGTCTGCAGCGGCGCATTGAAGAAATTTCGTGTCTGCCTGAGGTTGAGCTGAACCAGATTTGGCAATGGAACCAGACCCCTCCTCTGACGCGGGATGAATCCTCGGGACGACTTCGTGCCGATGCCACTATCAAGCAGGGAGCGCAGTACCCCTCTGCAGTTGTTCCTTGGGTGGTCAATGCTCGCAACCCAGCTTTGTTGTCTCCCATTGGCTGTGTCGGAGAGCTCTGGCTCGAAGGCGCTTTTGTCTCCGGCGAAAATGTTCAGAACCCGGCCTGGCTGGTTGCAGGAAGTTCGACTAGCCCTGGTCGCAGTGGCACAGTGCAATCGACTGGTGATATGGTCCAGCTGCGCGAGGATGGTAGCCTGGTGTTTGTTGGCCGTAAGGAGAATGTTGTTTCAATCCAGGGACATGCTGTGGATATTGCCGATATCGAACTGCACTTGAACAGACAGCTGCCCGCTGCAGTTCGCGCCGCTGCGGCTATTCGACAGTCGCTCAACGAAACTGGACCGGAGTTGGTCGTTCTAGTAGAACGGCCGTCTTCCGATGAGGAGAGCCTTTCCATCCTACCAGCCTCACAGGTTTTTAGCGGCGAGTCGGCGGCCACTCTCAGTGCCACGATTCCCGTCAGTGCTGCTGTTGCTCTGAAGAAGCTCGACAAGTTCATTCGCGACTCGCTTCCCTCTTACATGTCTCCGTCTGCATACATTGTGGTTGACAAGCTGCCTACCCAGGGCGAACAGAGTGACCACAGTGTTCTCAATCAGCTGGCCTCTAAGATCCCTCAGGATATCTTGGAACAGACCCGCAATGGGATTAGGGAGGTATGGGCAAAGACTGCTATTCATACAAACCTGACAGCTCCCGAGAAGATTCTGCGGTCCGCTTGGGCCAAGATTCTTCGATTGCCCGAGGAAGAGATTGATGTTGACGACAACTTCTTCCGCCTGGGTGGTGACTCCGTCCTGGCAATGAAGCTGGTTTCCAGTCTTCGTAGCCAGGGTCATAATCTGTCCGTGGCCGACATCTTCCAGCATATGCGCCTGGGTGACGCGGCCCGAGTGTTGAGGGTCGATCAAGCCTCTAAGGCCAAGCAAGCTCAGCCCTACCAGCCGTTCTCCACTCTTGGTCGTTCGGATGTTGAGCAATTCTTGTCTCAAACCATCCGTCCTCAGCTGGCAGAATCTTCCTGGTCAATCAAGGATGTTCTTCCCGTGACCGACTCCCAAGCGCTGGACATCCGCGCGACCGTGCATGCCCCGCGCACCTCGATCCAATACACCATGCTCATCTTCGACCAGGGGGCGATTGATCGTGAGCGACTGCTTCGCGCGTGCAGCGACCTCGTCAAGACCCACGACATCCTGCGGACCGTTTTTGTCGAGCACGAATCGGCCTTCTATCAGGTTGTGCTGAACGAGCTCTCCACCCCCCTGACGCAGCACACGGCCGACAAAGAAGACCTGCAGCAGTACATTACCGAGCTGTGCAACAACCACATTGCCTCCGACTTCCCTCTCGGTTCGTCTTTCCTCCAGTTCTTCCACGTCGAAGCCCTGGACGGCCGCGAAGCCTTGGTCCTCGGTCTTTCTCACGCGCAATATGACGGCGAGTCTCTGCCCCACCTGCTCCGCGATCTCGAAACCCTTTACACCAGTTCGCAAGCGACCGATCAGGTTCCCTTCTCCGCGTACATGGCACACGTCACCAAGCCGGAGACCCAGACTCCTGCTCTCACCTACTGGAAGAACCTCCTCCACGACTCGACGCTCGCCGTTCTCCCCTCCACCAGTCCGAAATCGCCCGCCTCCAGATCCACTTTCCACACTCAATCCCTCGACCTGGACCTCACTTCTGTCCAGGAAACCACCGCCACAACGACCGCAACCCTCCTTACCGCCTCGTGGGCTCTCGCTCTCGCCCGCCTCCTGCAGACACGCGACATCACCTTCGGCGGCGTCACCACCGGCCGTACCCTCGACCTTATCGGAGTTGAGAACGTTGTTGGTCCTTGCTACCAGCTCGCGCCGATCCGAATCAACATCCAGCGCGAGTGGACCGCGGTGGATCTTCTAGGGGCTGTGCAGCGCCAGAGCGCCGAGTCGGCGGCGTACGACTTTGTGGGCTTCGGCAAGATCGCACGGGAATGTGCGCCCGCATGGCAGGGAGCCGGGTCGTTCGACTCGATCGTGCATCACCAGGACTTTGAGGACTTTGACACCATGCCTTTCGCTGGACGGGAGTGTGCGGTTGATATTCTGAACCCGCATGGGGACGCGGCGTACCCGGTTAAGGTTGTTTCGTTTGTCAAGGGAGGCCAGTTGCAGTTGGGCGTTGTCGGCAGCGAGGAGGAGGAAGTGAAGCGGTGGCTGGATTTGGTGGCTGAGACGGTGCGGGAGGTGGTGTCGGGTGTTGAGGGGGGGAAGGTGTTGTTGGAGAGTTTTGAGTGATGGTTGATTGATATCATTGGCACGTAACTCATGGAAGCAAAATTATAGACTTAGAGAATAGATCATGTTTATGACTAGCCTTTTATTCGGAAAGAGCGGGAAATGCACTTTCCTTACACGCAAGAAACCGCAATACCCTGCTTCGATTTGAAGTACGCCAGACGATCTTCACGTAATTACCTTGGTCATAAGCGTGGTCTACGAGCAGCCCTACTTGTGCACTACAGGAATTTACCATCAACACAATTCAAGATTGTGGACTTTGTTCCTTCATTTCGCATGCATCAGTTATAGCCAAACGCAATGCAAGATCCCAAACTTATACCTTCACCACATGCCAAATCACTTACAGCCAAACACAACGAAGCAAAGACGCAAGAATGCAAATGCAACAATCAATACAACCCCCCAGAAAACATCAAACAAGCAAAGCAAGGCTCCCAGAGCAATCAATCAAAACATAACCCCAAGCAGCTGGGGATACCAAACCCCACCCAACAGCACAGGCACCACCGCTCCCACCAGCAAAACCCACAGAACAAGGTGAACAGGCACCCGCGTCGGCGCCACCAGCGACAACCCCGCAAGACACGCAGCCACCAAGCTGTCCCCCAGAAACAGAACCCCCAGCCAGCCACCAACCCACAACCCCATCGTCGGGCTCGCTCCCTGGACTGGACCCGTTGTTCCCTGGTCAGAGGGACCTAGGCCTTGTTGCAAGTGGTCGTCGCCAAGCCCCCATCAACAATAATCCTCCGCCCCAGCCGCATGGTAGACATGCTCCACGCCACAGGCGGAATGCCCCCCGGCGTAGAACGTGGTGCCTGCCGAGCGTTAGCATACCCTAACCCATCCCAACCCAACCCCTATCCCCACCCCCCCAAGAAAGAAAGGAAAACCCACCATCAACAGGCAAATCCCCCCTCGGCCCCCTGACCACACTCTGACTCTCCAGCTCGGGCGTCAGCCTCGCCTCGCAGCTCAGCTGCTCCGCCGCGGCGCCCACGGAGTCCCCGCCCAACCACACGTCCACATGCCACATGTGCGGCCAGTGCCGCGTGCAGCTCTCGCAGTAGTCCTCGTGGATGAGGTACTTCTGCAGGTACGGCGAGTAGATGACCTCGCACAGCTCGAACTCGCCCGGCGCGGTCGCGAAGGTCAGTGGGTCGTCGTAGGTGCCGGTCCCGCCGGCGGTGCCGCTGCCGCTGCGGTGCGGGCACTCGTACGCGATGGCGGCCCCCGGCGGGTCGTTGTCGGGGTAGCCGTAGAAGGTGTAGGTTATTCCGTGCAGGGTCGTGCATTGGTCTTCCGGCGTGGTTATGCGGAGGGGCGTTAGTGGCTTTGTTGTAGGTGCTGGTTGGGGTGGGATGTTAGGGTTAGGGTTTGCTGGGTTGGGTGCTGGGTTGGGTGGTCGGGGGGTGGGGGGCATGGGGAGGATGGTGTAGAGTTGGTTTGGGGGGGTTTTTGGGGGTTTCAGGTTGCTTGTGGGGTCTTTTGGGTGGGTTTGGAATGTGGTGGTTGGTGGGTTGGGAGGGATGGTGGGGATGATAGGTGTAAGAGGGGCTGGTGCAATGGTGTTGACGGGGGCAGTGGGAGAGACAGGGGCAGTAGGGTTGACAGGCGCAGGGTTGACAGGCGCAGGGTTGACAGGGGCAATAGTGTTGACAGGCGCAGGGCTAACAGGCACAACAGGACCACCAGACTGAGGCAGCGAAGAGCCAGACGGAACTCCACGATTCGGCAGTCCCACACGAGGAACCCCATCACTGGAAGTGTAGTTCTTGTTGTGGTCGTGGTTGTGGTTATCGCCAACCCCAGCCTGGTGCCCTGCGCCCTCGGGATCTGTGGTGGACTCACTGGTTCCATTACCCAGGCGCATAGGCGTCGCCTTCGGGTGCTTGTTCAGCTGAGTGCCCAGACAGGCACCCAGGATGGTGATAGCGATAACCACCACAGCCAGAGGGATGGCCCAGCGCAGCCACTTCTTCTTGTTGTTCTTGTCTGTGGTCGGTGGCTTGCTGGCGCTGGTGGAGGTTGCAGGCCAGGGAAGCTGTCCGCCTCCGTAGTGTTGCATCGTCGCGGTGCTGTGGATGGGTTAGTATACGATACTGATACCGAGTAAATGGGGGCTGGGATGAAATACTTCATGGTAGAAAAGGTGCTTGATGGTAGGAAAGGTTCTCGATGGTAGGAAAGTACTTGATAGTAATGAAGGTGCTTGATAGTAGTGGAGGTAGTGGATGTTGAGGATGCTACTTGATGATACTAAGGTGGTGCAGGAACGGTGCAAAAGAGGTGTTGTGGATAGATTCAGCAGATGGAGAGATTCAACGGGAGAATTCAGGTAGTTAGGACGGTGACTCAGATGCATCATCGTATCAAGCATCAGGAAATGCATTTCCGGTGGTCTTACCATCATTGCTATGCAATTATGACTGTATGGGTGGTTGACTCGCTCCTATAGCCATCCAAGTCTCTGAATAGCTTCAACCATGGTCTCGTTGATTGAGACCAGTTCGAGTATCACGGTACAGCAGACACTCGTGTAGAGTATGTCATATCTCGCTGTGGTCCTTGATGGAAACAATTCGAGCATCATGGCACAAGAATAAACCCCTGAATAACTTCGTCGAATTCGCTATGACCCTCAATGAAGTCATGGCGTGATGCAACAACGCCGTCAAGTATCGGACAAAGTCAGCAGGAACAGCAAGGTGAATATGCAATATAGTATTGTCTACATACCCTTCACTAACATATAGCCTATTAACATGAACGTTAGAGTATATCATTCAATACGACAGTGTCCTCTGGATAAGGTACGGCATCACCGATGTCTAACTGCGACATGCGAATCGGCGCCCAATCGGCAGCCTTCTGGCTTGATTGGAGAACCTCCACCAGAAACCGATCCCTTTGCTCGGGATACTCAGCAGCAATCCAGCTTTCGTCCCTCCTCATCTTCTGTACCTCTGCCTTCAGCGCCTCAATCGCAATGCTGGCACAGACCTCGGAATTGATCATCCCTTCCATGTGCGGCCAGGCACGCAATGCTTCAATAGCTCGTACCCGCAAGCGGAGATCCGGGCATAGAGTGGCCACAATGTGCAAGCCGGGACACACCACCGGCTCCATTGTGAAGGTCGTGCTTCTCGAGATTTGGTCCATAATAGCGAGGCTACTGGAAAGTACCGCAGCACATTCGGCAGTTATCTGACTGGTGCTGCAATCTCCGGGAAACAATACCTTCAGGGTGACGTATTGGACCAGCAGGAGGTGACGAAGCACCTGCGCTCCACGTTCTTCCTTGGGAGTGAACTTGCAGCCGCGTTCCTGGCAGAAGGAATCAAAGGCCTGCGCAATATCTGCGTATCGGGCAAGGATTCTCTGTCTTTTGAGCCACAGATCGTCATATTTTGCCAGAATCTCGGCCTGCGTTGAGCGCATCAGGTACGCGATCAGGAGAATCGAGTAATTGAGCGTTTCCGTGAAAGCTTGCCGTGCCTCACCGACGCTATTTACAACGATAGGACATACGTTCAACACCCACTCAGGCTCATCTACTGCGTCAATGCTCTGAGTAGGTCCCTCGGCGGCATATAAGGCGGCGGTAACATTGAGGTGGTCGAAGAAGTCGACAAGGACGGTTTCTATTATCTGTCCCTGTGCCTGCACCTCTTTAATCAGTTGCACCCCATGGTGAAGGTGCATGGCTGCTCTGCCATAATGACCCCGCAATAGCTCTCCCATCACAAACAGCAGACAGCATGTGATAACAGCCTGATACTTTTGTGGGTCGTTGGACGCGCCTCTTCTTCTCAGCAGGGCGGAGGATCGGGTGGAATGTTCCAGAGCGAAGTTCAAATGGGAGTCATCTGTTCGATTACCCGACAGTCGCATACGATTTGTCTCCGCGTCCTGGTGGATTGCACTAAGCATGATGACCGCATGGCAGACTGCAGGCTCGGCACAGCTCTGCGGAAGAATATAGCATTCCCAGAGAGGCGAGTCGAACAAATCCACGAGACCTGAGATTGTGTGGTATTGGAAGTATGAGAAACAGGTTTGCTCATCGGAGGTCAAAGCCGGGCCATGAAAGCGGCTGAGGAAGATGCGTGGGAGACCCATATTACGCCTGGCAGGAAGCCGATGAAAGTCATACTCGCATTTCCGACCGGTAGAGGTACAGTTGTTACATGCCCCCGGGAACTCATCGCATCGCACACGGCGCACACTGGAGTGGTCAGCCAAGAGTCCGGGTACTGCCGTGTTATACCTACCGACAGGTGCGGCAACCCGTTTTCGATCTCGAGCGAAACGCCTTCTGACGCTTGGAAGGTATAACCGTCTTCTCAGTCATGATACCTGCACTGGATTGCGACCAATGCGCCCCTGAAAGAGTCTGGTGAGCGTAGGTGAGGCTGAAATGGAGTGCAGCCAGGAGCCAATTTATTAGCCCAGCTAGTGTTGGCACTAAGATCAGGCGCGCTACCAGGCTAACAAGATAACAAGCAGTCACTTTGCCAGCCTTCCACTACACCAGGCTTGACCGACGGTAGTGCGGACTTAACAGGGGCTGATATCGCCGCCATCATGAGCCCCAAGCAGGCTGACAGGCTGGCGCGGATGTCCGAGTTGTTCTTTGTTGTTCTTCGCCTCTTGCCCGAATCAACTTGCAAGGCTCGCGGTCGCAGCGGTCGCAGCTGAATAAGCATTGCCTTGATGCCACAGAAATTCGACGGATCTCTTTTTCGGGGTCGTTGCTCAAAACAGATGGTTATGCAAGTCCAGAGATGGACCCGGGACTCATAATCAATCTTTTCAAGTCATTGCAAATTCTCAAGCATTCGAGGACAAAACATATGGAAGGCCTTCGTTCTGGATCGGCTCTTGCGGTGCGAGGTCGAGAATCCCGCTTGAACGGGAAGATGCTGCAGCCTTCGACTAGAGTGAGCAATCTTTCAGCACAAAGAGTTGAAGAGTAGACATATCCAGCAAATGGACGTTAATGGACGTTAATGCACGTAATATTCATCGGGAATGGGGGGGTGGAAAGGAAGATGGCAGCGGAAATGCAGCAGCTTCCGGTCGGTTGGGGAAAGACGCGGAATGGAATTGCCGGGGATAAGCGGAGACGGAGTGAATTCCGCAGGTGGGCGCTCAACCCCGCGATTCATCTGTCGCATGAAGACATAACATACTTCTTGCTTGCTGTCTTCCTTCCATCTTTTCTCCAGTCACCCTCTCTCCTCTTCCACCTTTCAGTATCCTCCCAGCCTTTCCCTCCATCACACAACATGGCTTCGTGGCTACAAATCCCCAAGAACTCGCCCTTTTCGTTGGCGAACATTCCCTTCGGAATCATCTCCACAGCCAAAGCTGCCTCGCGGGTCCCTGCCATTGCGATCGGCGACTACGCCTTGAACCTGAATGCCTTCGCCTCGTCGGGCGGCTTCGCCCAGCTGCCCTCTTTCGAGCCTCACCTCAACGTCTTCGACCAACCCACGCTGAACGCATTCGCAGCATTGGGCCGGCCAGTGCATCGCCAGGTTCGCGAGTACATCCAGTCGATCTTCCGCGCCGACACCCCCTTCCCCCAGATCCTCAAAGACAATGCGTCGCTCCAGCAGGAGGCCCTGCTGCCCCTGTCAGAAGTGACCAACCACCTGCCGATGCAGATCGGCGACTACACGGACTTCTACGCGGGTCTGAACCACGCCTACACGCTGGGAGTGCTCCTGCGGGGCCCCGACAACGCGCTCCAGCCCAACTACAAACACCTGCCCGTGGCGTACCACGGCCGCGCCTCCTCCATCGTGCCCTCGGGCACCCCGATCCACCGCCCCAACGGCCAGATCCTGGCCAACCCCACCGCGGTGCCCAAGGTGCCGACGTTCACCACCTGCAAGCGCCTGGACATCGAGCTGGAGCTGGCCGCGTTCGTCAGCCGGCCCAACGAGCTGGGCCAGCCGGTCTCCGTACAGGAAGCCGAGGACCACATCTTCGGGGTGGTGCTGATGAACGACTGGTCGGCGCGGGACATCCAGGCGTGGGAGTACGTGCCGCTGGGGCCGTTCAACGCCAAGAACTGGGCGACGACCATCTCGCCGTGGGTGGTGCTGCTGGACGCGCTGGAGCCCTTTCGCACCGCCAGCCTGGAGCCCGAGAACAACCAGAACGTGCTGCCGTACCTGCGCGAGAAGCGCGCGGACAACGTCTTCGACATCCCGCTGGAGTTCGAGCTCACCAACGAGGGGGGCAAGCCGACGACCATCTCGCGCAGCAACGCCAAGAACCTCATCTTCTCCTTCCCACAGATGCTGGCGCACCACACGATCACGGGCTGCAACCTGCGGACGGGCGATCTGCTGGGCAGCGGCACCATCTCCGGCCCGGAGCCCGGCATGGAGGGCAGTCTGATCGAGCAGA